CAGGTTTTAGTTTTAGTTTGTGTTTTCTGTTCTTAGTGCAATAGAAGGGGGTCTCGCCCATGGTGTAATTCAATGTAGAACCGCCACTGCAAGGCTGCATATGGCAAGCCGTTTTACCTTAAAATAATCCCTGTGTTACTGGTCGTAATTGCATTTTTACTAGTATCAATTCAATTAGAGAGCTCTACAATTAAATTCTTACTAGTAGCAATGCCAGTTAGAGAGCTCTCTAATTCAGTTCTTAGTAACAATTATGATTAGAGAGCTCTCTAATTCAATTCTTACAAACAATTTCAATTAGAGAGCTCTACAAATTAATTTTTACTTCCATTCATTTTTAATTACAGAGCTCTACAATTGAATTCTTACTAGTAACAATTCCAATTAGAGAGCTCTCTAATTTAGTTTTTACTAGTAACAATTGAATTAGAGAGCTCTGTAATTGGAATTCTTACTTGTAAGAATGTAATTGCAGAGCTCTCTAATTAATTGTTACTAGTAAGAATTGTATTACAGAGCTTAACTATAATTCTTACTAGTAAGAATGTAGCTGTAGAGCTGTGGAATTGCATTCTTACTAGTAAAAATGTAATTGTAGAGCTCTACAATAACGATTCTTACTAGTAAGAATTGCATTGTAGAGCTCTCTTTTCAGCGCGACCTCATTATGATAATTGCGCCTCATTCGTATTCACAAAAAAAAGGGTGACTGTCTGTCCCGATAGCCTTGTGGGCAGTTCGTCGATAACACCGTTGCGCTACAGGTATCCTGAGTTTGAGTCCTGGCTCGTGGACCCTTCTGATCCTGCACCCCCTCCCCCCCAATTCACTTATACTGTCCTTTCGGAATAAAGGCAAAAATGCCAAAAATAAATCTTAAAACAAGAAAATGGGGACTCAAGCAGCTTGTTCAGTCAAGCAGCTTTTAATGATGAATAGCAGCGCTGAGGCTCTAAAGATCTATTAAGTTTGATTATATATTGATTAAAATCATTATAAAATGATTATGCTTTACAAAGAAGAAATATAGGTAGTCTATGTAGCTACTGTAAGTTATTTTTAAAGGTGAATTCACACTTGCACAGAAAACATGCATATAAATGTATTCTCAGCAATTTGCATATTTAATTATTGGTTGTAAAATACCTGTTTTTGTTAAGCTTTGCAAGGGCTTTATTCGCATTATCCACTCACACAATAATGCTGAGGCTGGGTCCTGTACTGTTAACAGACGCATTTACTGCATGATGAAGCCTATTAGAATGAAGTTAGAATGCCACTATAGTTATGAGGGCAAAAATATCCCTGTATGAATATTTGTTTTTTATATTTATAACATCAGATATAGTTAAGTAATGTCACACAAGCAAGAGTGCCGTTTTCCGAATATTAGCGCACGAGCATGATCGTGAATGTGATGTTGAATTTATACAGTTCAACAACCAAGAAATTAATACAAGTGAGTTACATTTTGGATACAATATTGTCTGTTTTTGTTTCACCAACACAAATAGTCCCAAACAAAGCCGGAAAAGAACTGTTGCGCGTCTCCGAG